ATCAGAGCAGACCAGCATTGAATTACTCACCATCAATTGATTGATTGATTGAGTATCACACCTGTACTCTGTTATCATTAAAATCGCAAGTTGCAAAATTTTTTTCTTTTCTCATACTTACATAGTAATTAGGTCGTTAAATTATAAATTTAGGTTTTGCGACTTTTCTCCAGATTGCACTAATTAGGGAATCGCTAATTACGAGTAACCTAATTAGCGCTAATTAGGGTTAGTCCTAACCTAATCTAACGACCTATCAGACTATGGGAAGTAAGTGCCAGCCAGGCACCGCGCCAGTTGAGGCAAACCGGGCCTGAGCACAGCCACATTCAAACTGCAACTTCACGGAACTTTCACTTTTTGCAAAACACATCTTTTATTGCGGTTAAAGATTGAATCGTTACAGCACGGTTAAAGATTGAATCTTTACAGCAAATTGTCTATCTTCCTACTACCATCTATCTTCTACTTAATTAGTGACCTCGTGATGATGCTAACTTCTCCCGATTAAATTTCGTGGAATTATTGAAGTTATGTTTAAATATTTAAACTTGCTTTTAAAAAAAAATATTTGTGCAAATTTAAATATCTTTAATTAAAATATTTAATTTTTACGAAATTAATTATTGCAAATTCAAATATTCTTTAATTAAATATTTAAATCTTTTGCCAAAATTAAATTTTATTAATTCGTAATCTCCGATTAAATTTATTTAATTTCTCAAAATTCGAAATTTTCTCTTTTGACTAGTGTCAGACTTCGAGGTCAGGGAAGAAAGGGACTGTCTGTGCATTGCTTGCCTCTCTGCCCTTCTCCACCCCTACCTTCTCTGTCTCCTCCTCTCGGTACTACGGACATCAGTCTCCAGCCACGTCAGCATTGTGCCACATCAGCAGCAGGCCACGAACGCAGATTGCCACATCAGCCGCGTGCCACCTCAGCGTGCCACGACAGCCGAGTGCCCAGTCAGCGGCGGCCACCTTAGCAGTGCCACATCAGCAGGTGCCACCTCAGCGGTGACACATCAGCAGCAGATGAAGACCTGAGTACTTAATGCGCCGCAGCCAACGACTGGCCGAGCGCGGATCCGCAGGAGGGATCCCGCGCAGACGACGCACGACCATGGCTGCTACCGCTGATGTGAATGTACAAGCCAGCCCCAAGAGGCCGGTTGCCCCTCCTATCCCAGTTCAGCAGGCCGATGAACCACTTCTAGCGTTTCTCAAACGGCTCCAGATCTACTCGGAGACCACGGCAGCTGAACTCAGCAAGTGGGAGGAAGCCGCCCGCCAGCAGGAAATTCAACGCCAGCTGGCAGAGGCAGAGGCAGCACGTCAGCAGGCCGCAGCAGAAGCTGCAGCAGCCGCACGGTTGCAACAGCAGCAGGTCGAGGAAAGTCAAAACCGAGTTCGTTACCAAGCTACAATGGAGCTCGCCAACGAAGAAGCAACGTATCGGAGGGTACTCCGACAGCAGCATTTTCGAGCAAACGAGGAATAAGAGGAGCCGACCGAGGAAGAGAGAAACAAAGAAGCCACAGCCGTTCTGATGGAGAATCTGCTGTACACGTGCAATTGGCAGCAACGTGAACTGTTGGCCATGCGGCAGGTCTTCATCTGCCATGAAACAATGTTCAAGGAATTGGACAAGAAGATTGCTACCCTGCAGGCCGAGATCAGCACACTACACGCCGCCAACAGCCAGCAGCAAACACTCAATGACCAGCTGCAGACCGATGTCAGCATGGGGTTGGCACAACTGTCAGCAGCTGCGTCAACGGGCAACACAGTGGTAGACTGCAGCCCAGCTTTGGCCGCGCAGGCCAAGCAACTTGAGGAGCGGATCAACCACGTGGTCGCATCCCTCGGTGACATCAGCAAGTTCGCTGGAGCGTCAATAGTCAGCAATCAGCTGCAGACGCTCAGCGACCACGTTTAGCAACGACCGGCCGCTGTCGCCAAGGAATGGAAGATGCCAAACTTCAAGATCGAGAAGTTTGACGATTACCACAAAACCGATCCGTTGCAATGGTGGATGGCTTTCAACGCCGAGGCGGATGTACATCACACCCCAGAGCTACAGCGGCTTGGCGCACTCTACCTCCAACTCATCGGAGGGGCGCAGGCTTTCATGATCCACATGGCCGTGACGTTGGAATGCACCATTGCCACCCTCCACACCAAGATTACGTGGGAGGAATTCGAGAAGAAGTGGAAGACCCGGTTCATGGTCAACAACGACAAGCGTCATGCCTTGAACAAGATCTTCCGTATGTTTCAAGGCCAGCAACCTTCACGGGAGTGGCTGACGGAGTGGCAGAAACTCGTCGCCACCCCGGAGTTGAACTTACCGTTCGACGCAATCCGGGCCGCAGTGCACGTGGGCGCTGAGAGAGAACAGGGCGCTGCTTCCAGGCAGCGCCATAGCCATCCTTCATAGCCAGACTGGCTTGGACGAAGGCCAGCAGGAGGTGTTGGTGGTCTTCGTGTATGAGGGAGAAGACGTGGGTGAAGAAGGCGAGGGAGAGAGAGAGAGATGAGGATGAGGATGTGAGGGCACGTACCTGATCTTGGCGATGGTCTACAGGGCCGACATCTTCATGCACTTAGGTTGTTGCTGCTGACGTCAACAGGTTGCATTGTCAATTCGTGGGTTGGTAGTAGTTGTGTGATCGTAGTCCGGGCGCTGAGCGCCAAGTAGGAGGAAGGGCTCTGGATACATATGTTGGTGGTGGCGAGAGTATGCTCTCATTGACATTCGGATTCGGTGCTTTGGTTCTCCGTTGGTGATATATCGGTGCATTTTTGCATTCTGGACAGCGTTGGACTTTCTGGCTTTCAATGTGATTTTGCATTCTGGACTTCTGTCATTTCGCTATCGCTCATTTTCCTTGCAGTAGGCTTGGCTAGAGCAATCCACACCAAATCAGATGATGAGAATACGCAGTGGAAACTCACAAACCCAAAATAGAATTGAATTCAAATTTCAAATCAATTCTAATTAAACCGCCTCTCCCCAACTCAATCAGCAGCACGAAATCCCAGGATCCCAACCGCGTTATCAACACCCATGAACCAATTAACACAGAGCTTCATCAACAATAGGAGACTTTTTCTTCCTCCCTCGACGTCAGGCTCTAGCTATGGGGCTGCTCCCATCTCCAGCGCCCAATCTACTCAGCCCACCAATCGCCACACTGCCTTCTGAACCCAACACCCCTGTGCACCAATCACGATGCGGCGGTGTCCACTGCAGATGAAGTGTCCGCTCAGCAGGGGAGTGCAGTTCCCAGGGTGAAGAAGAAGAACACCAAGTTAAAAAAGAAGAGGAACGCTGCCACCTCGGAGGAGACTTGTTATCAAGTTTTTTTTTTATGGAAGCTGCCTGAACTCCCAACAACACATACGGAGGGAAGCGCTATCAGTGCTGAGGGCCTGAGCCCTGCGCTACACCAAGGAGGCTGGGCGGACCTGGCTATGGCCGCCAGTAATCCCACTAAGGTGACGACCTGTGCTCACGAGAATAGTGCAGTATGCCAGCAAGACCTTCCAGCCAAAACGAAAGTGAAAAAAAAAAACAACAACGAGATAGAACCCGTTCCCTTTGCCCTCAACACTTTTCTAGACTTGAGACTCCCCCTGACTCGATGCACCCTACAGCCTACAGCCTAGGACCGAATCTAGACTCAAAACCAGAAAAAGGGAAAAATAAAACCACGGGCCTACACATCTGCGGACACAAGAAAAAGTCCCAGTAACGGACAGGTCCAGGGTTTAAGTCCTGCGAGAATCAAACCTACACAAAGTTAGAAAACTGACTAATGGACAGCCCGCCAAGTTGAAGTATTGCACTTGTATGTAAGGTTGGATGTGATGAAGAGGGAACCATGAGTGTAACGACGTGTGTGAAGTACGGGAGTCATTGCAATTGAGCTGGAGATGAGAAAATGATGGGAAAAATAAAAGAAACATCGGAGGATCTGGACTCTGGAGGGTGGCAGGAAAAGGGAACTTACTGGTGTCGGGGTGACCAGGGACTGTGTTGGCTGGGATCCTCCGTCTAGCAAAGGAGTTCCTAACCCCCTCCCTCTCCAGAGTCTAGTGGTGGTTGAGCCTAGTTGGTTTGGGCTTGGGTAACCCAGTTGTGATATCCTGTGTCAACCTCCCCCATTTTTCCCTTCACATCTCTTTCTGAGTCTATTCTTGTTTCTCCCGTACGGAGTGCTCACAGTAGGCTTGGGTGTAATGTTTTGTCAACCCTGCCCATTTTTTTCTGTTTTGTTTGGACTGTTATACATCACGGGATGCTGAGCCTGAGCAGTACCCTGGGGCTGTCCCAGCAGGCTGCCCACAATTCTGAGTTTTCCAACTTTTCCTTAACCACCACTGCCGAGGCGGAGGCGAACTACGCGCCAATGGAGGGTTGAAGTGCCACCTTGGCATTTTTGTTTTCTTTCGACTGGCGACGCCAGCCTTTGTGGTCCGGTAGCGCACAGCCTCCCCGGGCCTCCAAAGAATGTGGTATAGGTTACTTTTGCGACTTAGCCTCCCAGCCTGAAAGGTAGTGGTGGTTAAAAAAAGAAAAGGAAAACAAAGGTGAAACAGAACAGAGCCTTAGTGTGTCCATGCTGTGAGGGTCCATATATGTGATAAAAATTTGAGAGAAAAAAAAAATGAACAGCTGTCCCCCGATGAGGAGAAGACAGCTTCAAAAATAAAGAAAAAAAAGAAACAGCACACAAGATGGGCAAACCAGCCTTGGGAGGATAATAAAGCTCCACAGAAATTGTGTCGCCCTAAAGGGGGTCTTCAAAAAATCGTCCCTCCTTACCGGTCTTGTGCTTCCCTCCTCTTGGGCCCCTTCTGAACGATTCTTGCTTCTTATCAAGCCGCTGTTTGTGACCTCCGTCCTGCACACTAGGTTCTGACCACACATCTGTGATTTGTTTCTCTGTTTTGCTTTTCTGCTGTGCCTTCTTTGCTTGATTCTCGCTCGACAGCTGGAGCAATTACAAAAGATCATCACAGTCTTAAAGAGGAGGTATATATCATTCTCATTACCACACTCCTGACTGAGATTCAATCATTCAAATGAGTTTTGACTTTGCTCAGTGAGAGAGAAACCAGGATCACACCATGAGTTCATTCAGCAAAAGGTGCATCCAGAATGCAGACTTCGCGGTGCCCTTAACCACCATGTTGTGTGAGACAGACTTTCAGTGTTTTGGAGGTTTTTTTCTTTTTCGCTTTTAATAGAAACTGAGAGGAAAGCCGCGGAGTTTTAAGGAAGAGTCCGCTGCTGTCGCGGCCACAGGGAGGCCGCAAGGAGGAGGACGAGGCCAGGGCAAGGGTGGCCAGGCCTCAGGTGGTCGTGGACGAGGCGGCCAGGGGGTTGGTGGCAACAGAGACCGCCAAGCAGGAGGTAGGGATCAAGGTCCCCCGACTAACCGTCCCAGTCCTGGTCGATCACCTCCCAGAAGGGGTGCATGGCACCCTGGAAGGCCTGAAGGCAGGCCTTGGGAAACCCTCAACATTGATCAGAATGTTTGGCAGGACCGTATTGACAAATATCAGTACGTGTTTTGCGGCGACCCCGGGCCATCATCAAGTTCTGCCCTGGGGCAGCAAAAGGCAACTGCCGGTAGAGGTAGCAACTGCCCTTACCCCAGGAGTACATGGAGATGAGCGTGTGCACAAGGCAAAAACTCCCACTCCACATAACCCCATGGCAGAGGTTGTTGACCAGCGCCTAGTTAGCTGCCTAGAGACTGCTTGTGTTAGAGTCTCTCTGGGTGTTTCCCTCACTGGCTTAGCTGAAGAGTTGAAGGAGAGAAGGCAAGCATGGGCCAAGATGAAGACGGATGGAAAAGGGCAGCTAATCTTAGCAGACGTGGAGATCTTTAGAGCTAGGGTAGGGGATCCTTATAGACAATGGGGCCACTAGAAGCTACATTAGTCGTAGAGCGCTGAAGAAGTTGAGGCTAGGCCTCAAGGTCCAAAAGCTAAAGGATCTTGTAGTCAGTATCTTTGCAGACAACCGCACCATGCGGATCGAGGAGTACATAGAGGGAGTCCAAGCGCACTTTCGCTTAGAACAAGGGGGGAAGGTAGAGAAAGTCCTTCACTCCCTGACTCTCCTCGTAAAAGACAACCTCTCATTCGATATAGTTCTTGGAACAGATTGGGGAGAGGCAGCTGGGGCCACATTGGACCTTAGAAAGCACGAGTGCAGGCTCCCTAGTCCGTCAGGTGGGCTCAAGAAAGCCCGCCTGTTTCATGCGTCAGGAGTCGACAACTCTTTGGCGCATTGTTGCCTCAGCACTCCTACTTTTGCTAGACTTGTCAAAAAGGAGCAGCTTGAGGAACAGGTGTTCATTGCTTATGTCAAGCCAATTTCTACCAGTTTTCTGAACGAGTACAAGGATCTATCAAAGGCACCCTCAGGGGTAGTGCCAAGACCCATTCAACACCGTATAGAAATGCCCACATATGGAACTCTTGCCTGGATCCCCTTGGCGAGGACTCCGTTAATGTACATATCTGTTCCTTATTTGCTGCTCAGTTAACCCCCTTTTTTTCCTTGGGGTAATCAATGTTGGCAGTCTGAGTTTTCTGAGTAAATTGTGCTTTTCATGTATAATGGGACGTTGGACCTGGTTTCCAGCAGGTGTTGCTCCCCACCAATAGAACATAGTTTTTTTTCAAAAAAAAAAAAAAGAAGAAGAAAAAAAAAAAGATAGAACCTGGCAGTAGAACACCTAAGGGAGCAATCTAAAGGATGTCTCCCAAGGAATTGGAGGAACTGCGTAAGCAGTTAGACCAGCTCCTTGAAAAGGCATGGATTAGACTAAGCTCATCTCCTTTTGGCGCACATGTCCTATTTGTCCCCAAGAACTAGGGAGAGTTAAGAATGTGTATAGACTACAGGAGTCTGAACGCCATAACAATCAAGTATGCAAAACCATTACCCCGCATAGATGACCTGTTGGATCGGGTGGAAGGTTGTAAGTACTTTACAAAGATCGACTTGAAATCAAGGTACCATCAAATAGAGGTACATTCTGATGATCAGTACAAGACGGCGTTACGGACCAGATACAGGCATTATGAGTTTATAGTGATGCCCTTTGGACTGACTAACGCACCAGCCACATTCTAGCGCTGCATGAATGACTTGTTTAGGTTGTGGCTAGATAGATCCGTAGTAGTATATTTGGATGATATGCTAGTTTTCAATAAGACCCTCCAAGAACATGAGGGCCGTCTAAGGTAGGTCTTGGAGAAGTTGAGAGAAGCCAACTTCAAGATCAACGTGAAAAAGTGTGAGTGGGCCAAAGCAAAAGTTCTTTACTTTGGCCACGTATTAGATGGGGACAACATTAGACCGGAGGACGATAAGATCGCAGCGATCAGAGACTGGCCAACTCCTCACACTCTGACGGAGTTGCGGTCGTTCTTAGGACTGGCCAACTACTACAGGAAGTTTGTAAGAAATTTCTTTGCTATCGCTGCTCCCCTCCACAGACTCCTAAAGAAGGAAGCAATCTGGAAGTGGGACCAAGATTGCACCACGGCCTTGAAGAAGTTGAAGAAGGCCTTGGTAGAGTATCCTGTCCTCGAAGTACCCGATCCTTCATTGCCTTTGGTCGTCACTTCAGACGCAAGTCAGTACGACATAGGTCTTGTGCTACAACAAGATGACGGCAACAGCTATAGACCCGTAGAGTTCATATCCGCAAGGTTGCCCTCAGAAAAAGTAGCAGCCTCGACATACGAGAGAGAATTGTACGTTCTCAGGCAGGCCTTAGACCACTGGAGGCATTACTTGCTTGGGAGGCACTTCAAAGTCTACTCAGATCATGAGACTCTGAGATGGCTAAAGACACAAGCCAAGATGACGTCCAAATTGACTAGGTGGGTTGCTGAAATAAACCAGTTTGACTTCGAGCTTAAGCCCATTAAAGGTAAGTACAACGTGGTCGTCGCCGCTCTAAGTAGAAGGGCGAATTACTTCGAAGCGATCGTACAATATATGGACATAGGGACGGGCCTGCAACAAAAGATAAAGGATGCATATGCTCCGGATCCAATCTATGGCGATTTACTAAAAAAAGTGAAGGAAGCTCCTTATAGTGGGCCAAATAATCGCACGACGAACGGTCTACTCTTTGAGAAGACCAACGTCGTCGATAGACTGTGCGTCCCCAATAATGAAGAGATCCGTAGTTTGATCTTAGGGGAATGCCATGACACGGAAGGGCACTTTGGTTGGCAAAAGACTTTGGCAAAAGACTTTGGCCAACCTCATGTTGGTCTGGCATGAAAACAAACTGCATAGAATATATTCGCAGTTGTAAGGTTTGTCAGCGCAACAAGACAACAACACGAGCACCGTTAGGTCTCCTCAGACCCTTGCCTATCCCCACAGGACCCGGAGAGTCGGTTTCCATTGATTTCATGGATACTGGGATCGGGAGTAGGCATGGCAAAAGTCAAGTCATGGTCATAGTAGACCGATTTAGCAAATATGCAGTCTTTGCACCTTTGCCTTCAAAGGCAAGAACAAACTTAGTTATAGAGAAGTTTTTCAACTTATGGTGAGTGAGCGTGGGATACCGCTGTCAATAGTCAGTGACCGAGACACGCGGTTTACTAGCCAGAACTGGCAGGTCGCCATCCATAGACAAACGGCCAGACAGAGCAGATGAATAAGATTGTGCAACAATTACTCAGAATGTATATTAGACCAGACCAAGTAAACAAGGATGAGATGCTTCCCAAGGTAGCTAGCGCTTATAAGAACAATGTACATCTAGCTACCTGTCGGACTCCTAACGAACTGCATAAGTCCTTCACACCACGTAGGCCATTTGAGGGACTGAACCGGGATCAGATTCAGAGATTACCACCTGGTATTCGAGAGTTACGAGAAGGAAGTCGGCAAGGTGGTAGAAACCTTAGAAAGGCCCAACTTTGCATGATTGAACATGCAAACAAGCATCGCACACCCTCACAACTCGGTAGGCGACCTAGTCTGGGTCAAGTCAAAGGAATTCACACTCGAGGAAAACATCTCGCAGACGCTTTTGCCCACGTACAGAGGGCCGTGGCCTGTCCTAGAAGTCAAAGCAGGAGAGGACGTACCATCATACACCATAGAGATACCACCACACCTCCATATGTATCCGTTCTTCCATGCATCAAAGTTGCTGGCGTGTGTCATTAGCGAGCAGTTTCCTTCGTGGAGATCAATGATCCCTCCAAACATGGATGGCACATACGACATAGGCCGCATACTAGAAGAAGACATCTTTCAGACTGAAGGTCGAGGTCATCCCCAGAAGCGATACAAGGTTAAGTTTGCCTACCGGGAACCTGAGGACGACAGATGGCTCACACAAACTGAACTTCTAGAGACCGCTCTCGACGTAGTTCATGCTTCTGAAAGAGCAAGGAAGGTTAAATGTCCTGCCTTGGATTAGAGCATTCTCGAAGGACCTCGAATTTAGGACGGCGGGAGTGAAACAGTTTCGCTCAGTTCGCGCGGCAATTGCAGCCCAGGGCTCGATCTCTAGACCTATCCCTGAACCCCTGTACACCCATGGACCGTGTGTGCCTTGAACCCGTGACCTGTTTCCTAAAACGTAAGTTAGGTTTCCTGCGTATATGTGCGGTCGCGTCGACTTGACCCATAGACCTTAGGGTTAGTAGTTGAGCGTAAGTCCTGTAGGTTAGCCCTCAGCGTAGCGAAAGGGCAGTCAAACGTAGCCTAGGAAGTTCTGGAAGGAGCTACTTGGCTCTTCGGAGCAGCAGAGGTCAGTCGTTCGTAGACGAGTCAGCAAGGAAGAGTCTAGTCCTTGCCTAGTCAGCAGTCCCAGTCTAAAGTCCCTGTCCACCATGTCTAGCCAGCAAGTACCAGGTGGCGCTGCACATTCCTTGGGCCTGGGACCGAAGACAGGCCAGAACGCCGACAAAACGGTATAAATAAAGAGGCAGCGCCAAGCCATTCATTCATTCGCGTGTGAGCCATGCGGAAGTGCTGCTTATGCGACTTGTGCATCGGAGGTCTGCAGGACCCGACGACGAAGTGGGCTAGTGGAAGGAGACAGCGGCCATAGCTGCGTGAGAGAGAAGGAAGAAGACGGCGGCCATAGCCGCCAGCTTGTTGACGGCAGCGACAGTGTGCGTGTGTGTGTGTGCGCGTGGACATTCAGGGTAGATCCTGGTGCGTGCGTGTGCAAGTGAGAGTGCGTCTGTTGGTGGATACAGCGTTCGGTGGGAATTAAGACCAGCGTGCAGCGGCCATAGCCGCTAGATGTGATGAGTTGACTTAAGCTGAGTTCCTGGCCTTATTTCTGAGTTTTCTGGGTGCACGCAGTGCGCCATCTCAGATTTGCTGCTGATTCTGCGTCAACAAAGTTGTGTTGCCATCGGCACTCACATATATGCATGTTGTGATTGAAATTGAAGCAAGTCTGATTGCACTGTGCCACTCTTGATGTTAATTCCTGTGCAAGTTCTCTTCCCGCCTTGCCAACTTTTAGACAAAATTGGTTTGATGAACCATGGGCAAAGTGATTTGTGATTTCTGTTTTGTCAGAATTGAACACGAGCCACACAAGGATATCTTAAAACAGTCATGTCTCGTGGATTTGGCTTTTGTGCTGCCTTCACTTGTTGTTGCGGTGTGTATTATCCTATCCTCTTTTCTTCCTTTGGTGGAGGCTTGAGTTGTTTTTGAAGGATTGCTGCATGCAATGCCATCCTTATGGCTGTCTTACATATCGGTCAACAGGTCAACCAGCCGCACAGATGAAGACATCGACTTCCTGCTCAAGTATGTCTCATCGAATAAGTTCTTCCAAGGACTTGACCCAACGACACAGAAGGAGGTCTGCCGTGTAGCATTGCATCAGTCCAAGTCAAGAGGGGATGTCAGTACGTTCTCTTCCATGACCTAAGCCTGCTTGCTTGATTATCCACAAATCAGTATCAGTTGGATCTGTGCTTGAGTTACTTGCTGATAGTCTTTCTTACTGGATGGCATGGATGAATACTGCTACATCAATAGCCAGTGTAACACACGGCACCTTTGGTCACGCTGGACCCTGAGGTGTTTGTGGGAGCTCCGCAGCGGGCTGTCTGAGACACCTATGGTTGTGAATTGCAGACCATGTGAGAATCATCCAGTACAACCTTGCCCTCTTTGCCAGTGCCTTTGCAAGTGTCTTACCTGCTTCACTCTCAGGAGGAAGGGGGCTGGGAGGGAGGAAGGAGGGAGGGAGGAGGGGCATACCTGTGTGTGTGTTCCATCTTCTGTACTCTACACTTTCCTCAATGATTTTTCTTCTTGAGCATGGGTCTTTCTTTTTTCCTCTTTTTAAAGTTGGTAGACCCCAACATTGCTCTGTCGATCAGGATCCAAACTCCTGATCTGTTTTCTGATCTGTTTGTCAACAGTTAACATATGCCTAACATTCAACTGCCGCCAGGCCGATGCCTTAAACCGCCAGCACATCGCCCAGGCAACCTCAGGAATCGAAATCTAGCCAATCCGAAAATTTTGGGGGGCCCTGGCAAAGTTGGCATGCAGTGTGAATCCGCCACGGTAAAAAGAGGCTCAGATGTACTGGTCCTTCAAGCAGAAGTTTGGCTCCCTTTTCCAGTCCTGTTACACGTTCCTTTGTTTCCCTGTTCTGTCCCCTGCGTACATGGCCGATTTAGCATCATACTGTAGTAGGCCATTAATTTCCATCCAAGGACAACCTAAAAAATGTCCATATATGTGGCACAAACATCCAACACGGACGTCAGCATGCCGCCATGTGAGCATGGAGTCCAAGTCAAGATGGTACACACCAAACAAGACTACGATATCCCCCTTCTTGCCGCCTGGCTTGTTCCTCATTGCTTACTTCACTTCAAGTTCTTCAACACAATATTATTTTCAAGTCAATAACATACAGAATACTGCAAACACTTCCGGAATTAGAAGACAGAGGCAAGCTGATTATATGGCCGTCTTTTTTACATTCCCACTGAACTAAAACAAAAGGTTGTGTGAAGTGGCCTTTTGGAGAGGAAGTTGTGCCTAGGACCGACCTGGTAAGCACTTCAAGTAGTGCGCTAGTACGAGCGCAAAAGTTTTGAGCCTCTCAGTGCGCAAGCTCACACTTCAAATCTGACACCTACGCTCACGACGCGACACGGGTGACTGAGAGCCTTTCGAGGGGAGGAGAGAGAAGTGGGGGGAAGGGGAAAGGTAGCATGGCTACCAACCCTAGGGGAATGTGGAAGACGCCGCATGGCAGAGGGGGACAAGGCACCAGAGGTAGGAGAGGCCGCTCTGCAGGGTGCAGACGGAAATGAGAAAGGGAAACAGGACAAGCTAAGTTTAAGAGAAGGAATGAAGTGAGAAGTGGGGGGAAGGGGAAAGGTAGCATGGCTACCAACCCTAGGGGAATGTGGAAGACGCTGCATGGCAGAGGGGGACAAGGCACCAGAGGTAGGAGAGGCCGCGCTGCAGGGTGCAGACGGAAATGAGAAACGGAAACAGGACAAGCTAAGTTTAAGAGAAGGAATGGAGTGTGGCCTGAGAAGCAAATGTGGAGTGGGCCGAAGAAGGCAGCTCGTCTGCTTCTGCCTACCACCTTGAGTTCCCTGACTAAGCCTGGGAAAGGAGAGTAAAAGAACCCTGGGAGCATCACAGCCTTGCAGGTTGCCATCAGAGCTAAAAAGGGTAAGTTTCCTCCATCATCCACACTTGTGGGCATCGAAGAAAACACTTTCCAAGTGGGCACGATTCATCAACAAGCGGCCATAAAATAATGTGATTCCAGGGCCTCCTCATTCTTGTTTGTAAGTTTTGACGGATGCGCTACATACTAAAAAGGTTTTCAACACAGCAATTCCTTACCGGAATTAAAGAGATAAGGGGATCGAACGGACAAAGAGTGTTGCACAAAAGAGAAGACAAGGGTAGGATCGAGTTGACTTCAATAGTGCCCAGCGAATAAGGAGCAAGAAGACAAAATATCGAGGTAGGTAAGAGTAGGCAACAATGTGGGTAGAGTGAGAGATAGGCAAAAGAAAAATGCATCAGTACAGGGAAGGGGTTAGAGAGCAAAAGGGAAGAATCATTGAGAATGGCAGGACATGAGAGACAAAAAGAGGCAAGGGTTATGAGAATTGGGAAGGGGGGAGAAAACAACATGTAGCAAGGAGGAGACAAGAAGGAAGGGGGGTCAACTCATACCTTCTGGGAGAGATAAGCGGTCACACCCGTCCAAGCCTGGGCAAGGGAATAAACGGACGCCCCGGCCCCCTAAAAAGGGAAGCGGGACGATAAGTGTATCACGGACCGACAGGAGGCAAGAGGAGCATTCCCTCAAGGGTAAAGTCACAACAGTTCAGGGAAGCACATCACAATTGAGAGTGGGGTCATATAGCGGATGGAGAGGTGCAAGGGAAGGGGGGATGGCCGAATAAGGGAAGTGGGTAAGGAGGAGCGCAAGGGAGGAAGAGTCTAGGAGAGGAAGGACAGGAAGGTAGCGTCGGACAACTGGTCAGAATGCAGCTTTAATGATAGCGGATATCTGCCTTCATTAATAGCCCCGAAACACTATTATGTTATGATCCTGGCCAATTTCGAAGTACACATCCATCAGATAGTATAATGCCGTCCAATTGCAGAAAGAAATGAATGAACTTGAGAGGAGAGAGAGGGTAAGAAGAAGAAGAAGAAAGAAAGAAGAAGAAGATGATGTACACCAGTATAGACAAATGATAAAGCTCTTCTTCTTCGCCCCACACTCTCCTCCTCCTTTACTCCTCCCCTCTTATTCACACAAGAAATAATATCACAATGTTGAATGGCTGAACCAGAATCAATGTCCGAATCCCTCTTCTACTGCACGTATCACTTGAGGTCCACCATAGCCATGGCCGCCTCCCTCACTCTCCACTCTCATAGGCCGAGGCTATGGCGGACTACTCGGGCCTTGCCCTGATGTCCAAAGGACAACGCAAAGCAGCTATGGCTGCTCTAGCTCCGGCCGACATGCCTCACTCTGCCTCGAAGCTTCTTGGTGTCATTCTGCCCCCACAGGGACCTTCCTGCTGCAGCGCCCACGAAGGTGATGAAGATGGTTGTCACCATAGCCAGGTAAGTACCTCTGGCGCTCTGCCTTCCTCCTGGTCTTCTTCCTCCTCCGTGTCCTTGCTCCTTCCCCAGCAGCGCTGCTCTTGCTAGTGCTGCTCCAACCAGTGTGTCGCCAAACTTGCCCACCGACAATGAGGCTGGGCTCTTCGCCCGGCCTGGAGATATAGCGGCCTGCTTGCCTCTTAGGCGGTGACTTCCAGGCCGCTCGGCCTTCCAAGCAACCGGTACCTCTTCCCTTTCGGAGGGAAACATCATTGCAGACTCTGATATTGCCCATACAGGCCCTAGACTCAGACTGGTTGGACTGGTACCCGCCTAGACCTAGACTACAACTACCACTTTTGTCTTCTTCTGCTCGGTCTCGAGCACCCGGCACATCTACCTCTTCAGGGTGTGGTACCGGCCGACCTGCTACTTGAGTGTTTCCCCGCTGCTTTAAGTGTTGGGGGCCTCTTCCCCCACCACTTGAGTGTTTTCCCCGCTGCAATCCTCAATGTCACGGCCACAGGGTAAGTACCCTGAGGGCCCAACGAACGAACAAGTGCCCTTGCGGGTCACACACACACTCAAGCCATCAAGCACTCAGACAGACATGCAGACCACCAAGCTTGCACACACACAGACTTAGAGAACTTAGTAGCAAGCGGGAAACTTAGCAAGGCATTCAGTCCATGAGCAAAACTCAGAAATCAGCTGTGTGTTTCAGTCCGCGTTTGGTCAGGTCATCACAATTATCTGGACTGGCAACCCGTATGCAGTGACAAACAAAATTTGGCTGTTAGAAGTATCCACTACAAACAAAGCACAGGTCCAAGGCCATTGGTAGATTTTTTAAGTTTTTTTTAAGAGACAGCACAATACTCCGATCCAACACGTGCTGGAAACCGGGCCCAGCGTCCCTTATGCAAAAATACTGAACAAATGGTATACCGGGGCCAATACCCGGCTTGGGCTGAGAATACTAGGATATTCATGAACAACTGCTGAAATCTTTGAACAGTCGAGAAGTTCTAGAAAACTTCGCAAAGCAGAGAGAATGCCTGGACCACCCAATCCTCACCCCTTACCTTCAAGGCGAAAGGGAAAGGGAGAGGAAACCAACCTCTTCCACCATAGAAGTTGACTAATCACTTGCCACTATCAGCCTCCGCCAAGGAACAATACTCCGTCAACCCCGGCCACAGCATAGCACAACCCTCACTTGCTGTCCTTACCCCCCTAGACGCAGCACTTCCCTTCAATATACTACCCCCGCAAGGTAGGACTCTCTCCCACAGCGGCAACTAACGAACAGTCCACAAGATAAGGAAGCTTCACCGCACAGCTGCTGAAGTCACCCCGTTCCCCTGAGAGGAAAAAACATCCCACCTGTTCTTACCCAAGAGGTTCTTTGACACGTACAACAAAGACCGCAAACCACAAGTAAGTACATTGACAAGGATCAACTGTTCAAAGAGGTTCTTCAACACGTACAACAAAGACCCCAAAGCACAAGTAAGTACATTGACAAGGATCAACAACGAGCTAAATTTTAACCCAATAACCACTGTTATTTATTTATTATTGTAGTTGTCATAGCAACTCCTTTATTATCATTTTTGTTTGTATGTAACATTGCAGTTATAAGTGCTTATTGATGCAAACATTTCAGTCACTAACCATTTACATAACAGGCGAACAACAAAAGAATACTCTTGCTCTCATCCTGCCTCTTGCTCACTTAAAGTAGGATGGGGCATGCAAGTTTTGCTGCCCGTTCTTGTGAAAAGGAAAGGTACACAAAGATGCTGGTTTTCAAAGTGGTGGGGGAATGGAGTACAGGTGTCCTACGTCCTCGTGTTTACCACTTCTTGGCGAAATTCGTGTGGGTTGGTGTAGTTTGGGGAGAGTTAAGTACTCGTTGAGTGGAGAGAGGTTGACGTAAAAATTTTGTCCATCTTTGTATCTTTTGTCGCAGGGGCGAGGCTCAGCCTGAGGTTTAGAGTTTGAGGCATGTCAGCCCCTAATCATGCTTGATACTTCGATTGATGTATAGCCATGGCACTGCACCCGCTTATAAATGTATGTAAGACAATATGCATATATAGTGTGCCCCTCATGTTGGTCTTGTTTTTTATTTTTTACCTTTGTTTCTCAAAGTGCACTTTTTGGTTCATAGTTATGTGACTGTTTGACGATATATGAACGCCGAGCAAAATCGCCGTTTTTTTTTTGGCAGAGAACCAGCCCGTCATGTTGCGGAGGTCGGCCTCCGGGCCTGTGCGTCCAGAAAATTGAAAAAAAAAAATTGAATCCTTCCCCCCCCCCCACCCCCCCCAAGACGAATCTAACCGCGAGAAGTGTGAGAACAGACCTGTACGACAATCAAACAAACAACAACCCAACAATCAATCACCCGATTGAGCAATCAATCAATCGTTCGAACATTCAACCAACGGATCATCCAAGATTGATTGATAGATTACCTGATAGTCGTCGGTTGATTGGTAGATTAGTTCATTGATTGATTGTCTGGTTAATTGGTGGGTTGATTGATTGAGTGATCAGATCGACTGATTGATTACTTGATTGATTGTTTGATTGATCAATTGACCAATCGACTGATTGACTGATTGATTAACTGATTGATTGACTGACTGACCGATTGATTGACGGATTGATTGATTGATTGATTTACTGTTTGATTGATTGATCGAATTACCGAACGGATCGGTTGAAGGATTGATTGATTGATTGGCTGATTGAATGAGTGAACATCGGTGGTGCCCGCCCCCATGCATGGATGAACAGATCGCAATCTGTAGGTCCGAATCAAACGATCAATTTTCTTATATTGATTGATTGATTGATTGATTGATTGATTGATTGATTGATTGGATTAGTCATGGGGAGGCCCCGACTTCACGACATCCCTCCCCATCACCAGTTCCCTCCCCCGACTTCCCGACTTCCCTCCCCCGACTTCCCTACTCCCCGAATTGCCTCCCCCAACTTCAATCACCCGACTTCTCGACTCCCCGATTGCCTCCCCCGACTTCCCGACTCCCCGATTGCCTCCCCCAACTTCCCTCCCCCGACTGCCCTGTCCCGATCCCGACTTCCCGACTTCGCTCCCCAATTGCCTCCCCCGATCCCGACTTCCCGACTTCGCTCCCCAATTGCCTCCCCCAACTTCCCTCCCCCGACTTCCCTGTCCCGATCCCTGTCCTGATCACGACTTCCCGACTTCCCTCCCCATCCGACTTACCGACTTCCCTGCACCGATCCCGACTTCCCTCCCCCAACTTCAATCCGTAGGGAAAGTACTCTCTCTCTCTCTCTCTCTCTCTCTCTCTCTCTCTCTCTCTCTCCT